GGTGCGTGGTACCGCGGCTCAGCGGCGCCACCAGCACCCTGCTGCGCGCAGCTCCGCTCCGCAACGCCGGTAAGCACCGCGCCGCCTCCCGGCTCCGGCCCGGGTCGCGCATCACGTCCCTGACAAACTCCCGTTTCTCTCGGGGGGAGCGGAGCTTTGCACGGGGGCGTACCGCCTCCATTCATGTGTACCCGTGGGCAAGGAAGCGAGCCGAGGAAGGTGGGAGAAAGTTACTCCTCGCTCTCTCTCCTCCTTTCTGACACGACGTGGGGTGTCCCGCTGTGCGTGCAGGACGGATCTCCGTGCAAAGCCCTTCCCGGTGCCGGGCTGGGTGCTATGCCGGTGCTGGGCGCCGTCCAGGGCGGCCCAGGCACCCGTGGGGGAGCGGGGCGTCCTCTGGAAGGTGCCTCGTCGTTCCGGTGAGCCCCTGTCGAGAACTGGGAGCTAGCGAAAATGAAGCTGGTGTGGTACTTAATGATGTGCTCGTTCGAGTCTAACACACTGATACTATGAGAGGGGCATCTCAAAGCAGATATCTTCAGGTTTATATGTATGTTATTTTATAGATTTTGTTCTTATGGCTAATTTTCAACCTATCCTTCTTCTGGTTTTAGAGTAGAAAAATTTATTAAAATGAAACTACTTAATTCTTATAGTGTAATCTGAACTGGAATATTAGCGTGCTAACTTGCAAGAAGTAAGCTCCTTCAGGTAAAGTGCAACAGTGGCACTTCATTTAAAATTACTAAAAATGTCTTTTTTTTTTTTTTTTCCCTTGTGACTTGTATCCCATAACTGTGCCTGTCCATGTTGGACACGCTGAATGTGACATTGTGTGCTGTACTTAGTCAGAGGAATGTGTTTTCCACCAATTTGAGGGAAAGTCTGCATTAAGTTGAATGCAGATAGCTGTACAGAACTGCAGCTCTAAAAAGCTGCACTTTTATCCCCTGTAATAATGCTAAGCTATTTTAAAATTCTGAGAAAACCAAAGCATAATAGCCATAATTGAAAGAAATGGAGGCAACATTAAAAAAAAAAGAAAGAAAAGCAAAGCTGTTAGTATTTGTGTTACTTGTGGCTAGGCAAGGATGACCTCTTTAGTAGATCTTACAGGACTGAGAGGGTTGGAAAACAGCCATTGCTTGATGTACCTCTTTGTTGTAGAGAGGAAATCATGGTTATGCTGAAGATTTCATCTTTCCTTGCTGTTTATGCCTTGGTTGTGTGCCAGATGGATAGCTTCCAGGCAGCCCCGGTCAGGTAAGAAGCTGGTCCTGTTGCTGACTGCTATGTCTGAATGGTAGGAAAATACTTTAGAGGTCTAGGAGGGAAGTAGACTACAGTGAATGAGAAAGCTGTCTTCTTTTAATACTATCTTTGACAGTGTGGCTTTTTAATTACGTATATAAAACACCTAATGCTGTGCATGAGGATGGTTTACATATGTTCACACCAGTGAGAGATGCTGTCAGTGACATGCAGTAATGCACGACAAACCCCTCTCTCCTGTGCGTGGCTTTCTGCAGCAGTCTGGGTTTTATTCATCCCGTTTTGCTTGCCTCTGCATAGAGCTGGCTTGGAGTCCATAGCAGACCGAGTGACGCTCAGTGATTACGAAGCTCGGAGGTTATTAAACGCGCTGGTGAAAGAGTTTATACAGATGACAGCAGAAGAGCTGGACCAAGCCTCTGAGGGGAACAGGTAAGGACTGCAGTCCTGGGGCAGGAGAACAGTAACGAGGGGAATGTTGTGTTTGATATTTAGCAAAAGCCATCTGAGCAGACTCTCTGCAGGTCAAATTTGGGTGGTTTTTTTTTTCTTTTCTTGGGGATTATGGCTAACTGTAGTCACCTAACTGGTAAAGGATGATACTGCAGAGACATCCTAACGTTGGTATCAGGAGAATGGCTTCCACCTAGTTAACCTGCTTCTGTCTGTCTTTTACAACTGAAAGTGGAGGGCGATTTGAGCTTGAATGAGGGGGGCGTGTTAAAATATGGCAGCAAAAGGTATGTCTTCCTAGTGGCAGTGTTAGGGGCCATTCAGTCACTCTTGGATTCTCTGTCGTGAAAGTGCATGCTGTTGTAAAGGCATGGAAAGTCCCTGGCAGAGGGAACATGTTCCTCCTAATGCACGCAGCACCACTCTCCCTCTGTAGACCCGAGGCATGCAAGAGCATTTGCATTATCCTAACAGGATTTGTATTGCAAAGCATGGTGGTGATGTATGAGAGACTGAACAGCATGCTGAACACATGGGAAGTAAAACTTCCTGACCTCTGACTATGAGCATCTAAAAGGGTAATGAACTTGCTTTTCAACAAAGTTGAATTCATTGAAAAATAGCGTTTTCTTTCTGACTGCATTTGTATGAACTATCCTTGCATGGAATGTGATGTGGAGGGTTTGTTTGTTTTATTATTATTATTTAAGTTTCTTAACTGTAGATATTTATCTAGGGAAGAAATGCATGAACATGCATGTTTGAGATTACTCTTCCTTTGGGCATGTTTTTTTTCCCCCCCTGCAGCCTGGATAGACCTATTTCCAAACGCTGTGCCAGTCTGAGTACTTGTGTGCTGGGCAAACTGTCTCAAGAATTGCACAAATTGCAAACTTACCCTCGCACTGACGTCGGGGCTGGAACTCCTGGCAAGAAACGAAATGTGCTGAGTGACCTGGAACACGAACGCTATGCAAACTATGGGGAACCCCTAGGAAACAACTAGACATAGCTATTTCTCCCTTCTCCCTTTTTTTAACCTGATGCATGTGGATCTAGCTTTGATTGCTAACTTTGCTATATTCTTTTGATTCTGTTTTCGACAGAGAATGTTTGAGATGGACCTAATGTTAGGAAGACAGAGAACATAACATGCACACAAAGCTAGGGGGAAAAAATAAATAAATAAAAATGAACAGCACTGCCTTGACATTTCAAATGATTTTCTTAGACCCTGATTAAAAAAAAAAATCTAAATAAGGCTCTTCATTTCTGGCTGCTAAATGTACAAGTAGACTCTTCTTTTGTGCTTGCCCATGCACTTGTTCAATAAACCTATTTTTCTATAAGGATTAGATCTTGTTGGTTTAATAACTTGTTTTAGAACGTGACTTCTAAATGAGGCTAGAAAAATTTTGTAGGTTTGTCTTAATATTCAAGAGAGGCAATGCCAGTAATTCTAGAAAAGTTTAAAGAGAACTTAGAAATTGAAATTATACACATACATTCATATGTACTGATGTAATTGGGCATGCATGCAATCCTGCTAGCAAGGATCCTGAAAAGCAAAGGAATCAGGAAAGGCTCATACAGACTTGTTCAAACAAACTAGAAATGTAGTCCTGTTTAAAACTGGTTACTGAATACTTCCAGGTAAGAATTTCATGTTCTTTTCTTTCCCCTTCTTACTTTGCAATAGGTCTCTATACTAGTATGTTTAAAACTTGGGTATCTTTAAAATATTTCTATTAATTCAAAACAATATAATGTAGGTGAATTGTAAATTAAGAGACAAAACCAGACTTCTTTATAGTTCTTCTGTTGCAGCACTGCATCTATCTCATACTCAGAGGCCTCTTCCAAAAAATTGGCATTAATGTTATGAACAGTATTCATTGTGAAGAATTACAAGACTGTTTATTAATGTTATCTGAGAAAAATCCCTCTTACTGGAAGAAAGTCATTGCTTTAGTAGAAAATTCTTCAAGCAAGGACTGTGTGAATGAGTGTGCCTTTAAGTCCCCCATCTAGCAAAATTATTAGCTGTAGGCTGAACTCTGAGCATAGAACTAATCCTATTGAAGTCTGTGAATTACTCCCATGGTGAAGTGCTGTAGTAGACAGAGGTCTAACTCCAGGAAAGAGGAGTTCCCACATTCCCACTAAGTACATGGAAGCAGTATGTTTCCGTGAGCCAGCTGCTGTGCAGGGACAGCCCTACCAGAGTCCCTGGCAAAGCTCCTGTTGTTGTTTTCAGGGATACTGGGATTTCATGTGTTTTCTGGGCATTATGGAGCATAGGTGTTGAAGTGAGAAGTCAAAGATGAGTCTCTGCTACTGTCCTTCAGCAGCACTACTGACAAAACACAACCTAAGTTTTTGGAGGAAGCGGGGACTGGTTCAGTGCTCCAGATCTGGATCTCCTCTGCATCTTTCTGTTGGTCATAATGACTTGCTGGAGACAGGCAGTGGCTCAGGTGTTGCTGAAAATCTGGCTTGGCTTAGCCTTCAGTCCAATTGCCCAAGAAAGGAAGGGCTCAGCCACTTTTTGTAAACTGAGACTGACATTTAGAAAAACTTAAAGACTCATCTTTTAGAACTTGTAAGCTGTGCACACCAAAGCTGCAAATGCCTGCTGCACAGCAACCCTACTCTTTCTTCTATAGACAACTTTCCTAGGCATAGCACCCCTTACTGATGTTTCATTGCGTGCAGGGTAGATACTTCAGGAACTAACTCTCTATTTCTGTTTTGAAAAGCAGTGTAACAGCACAGAAGAGGGCATGCAACACAGCAACCTGTGTGACCCATCGTCTGGCGGACTTCCTGAGCAGGTCAGGAGGAGTGGGCAAGAACAACTTCGTACCAACCAATGTGGGATCCAAGGCCTTCGGCAGACGAAGAAGAAGCATTCAAATGTAAAAAAGCTGAATGATAATGTGAATACGGTAAATACATTGCAATAAACCACATCTGCAATGCAGACAACCTGTGGCATTATCTGAATTTTAGTTTTGCTAGGTGAACAACAAACCTACAGTGATAACCTCTGAGAAAGCAGAGCAAGTGACAGTGTAAAAAAGATGGTAGTTTAGACTGTGAAGAAGAGCTTCTGTAGATGTTCTGCTTAGATAAATAGCTTCACAGTGCATTAGCTAAATGCACCAGTTTGGTTGGGATTATTTGCTTATTTTACCAGGAATACTTCATTATCAACATATCAGTAACTCTGGATTTGTTTCTTTCAGATTGTCATGAAACTGAAAGTTCAACTTTAATTTCTAATGAAAGCAACTCTTCTCCATAAATCAAGACAGCCAAAAAGAAGATTAATTTTGCATCCTAATACTGAAAATGTTTTATTTAATACAAATGAAAACACTTCTGTATGTATAGTACAAGAGAATCTAGTTATTAAATTATTGTATATTCTTTTTATATGCAACTCTATTTCAA